GGCGACCAGGCCTTGCGGACAGCCTGACTGTTGTTTACACTTACTATAGGGGCCTAAATAAATACCAATGCTATTTTGGGAATTCCTGATTCTAATTATAGTACAAAGGGCCCCCAAACCCTGTTCTAATTATTAAGGCCCCTACATTAGGCTCTTTCTAAGGCTTTTCGGCCCAATGACCATGCTATGTAAGGTTTTTGGGCTGTTTTGAGCCTTAGGGTGGGGTCCAGGGGTTAGGATTAATACACCTAAAGCTACCAAAACGCACTTTCTCTTCTAGGGCCCCAACATATTCCAAAGTTTGTAGTGAGAGCTTCAAGAGCCTAGGTTACGGTAGTTGAAGGTAGGGGGTCGGAATGATTAGTTCTGGTATTGTTTGTAGTCTCTCTGGGATTTCGCTGGAAATACCCTCGTTTTAAGTCACGCAGGTGCCTATATTAGGGGTTAGGGCGGGTTAGGGTTTCTCCAGGGTTTAGGGTCTAGGCAGCACCCTAAACCTGAACTAAGCTTAAAACCATGAGTCTTAAACTTTAAAGTAAGGGTTTAAACTTGAACCCCAAAGTAATCGCTAAACCTTGAGCCCTAAACTTAAACTACGCCCTAAACTAAGCTTGACACCATGAACCGCAAACTACTCCCTAGACCCAGCCCTTCTAAACAAGCCCATCCTAGCCCTTAGAAAATGGAGCCCTGCAGACGCCTCTTTGTATACATGCACCTGCAAAATTGTAGACATTACTACTTGTGCATCCGTAGGGATTCCGTAAATATGCCATACCCACCCCTCCAAAAACAGAGTCCTGAATATTGCTGAAAACCTCATAGCACCACTCTCTATGCTAGATAGAGAGTCGTATTCGGCCCCGAGCCTCCAACTTATTCCCCTTGTTAAACTAAGTAGAATGCGGGATTTCAGGTTTGGGGCTTTTCGGATTTTGGGATTTAGGGTTTGGGGGTTCTTGGTTTTTTGGGTTTAGGCTTGAGGGTTTTGGGGGTTTAGGGAGTGGGGCCCCAGGATTCTCAGGTGCAGGAGTCAGGGAGTGAGGCTGTTAAGGTTTAGGGGTTTAGGGTTTAGGGGTTTAGGGTTTAGGGTTTACGGTTTAGGGGAGTTATGAGCCTTGAAAGCTCTGTGGCATGAAGCCCGATGCCGCATCGCACGCCCGAGTTCAGTCCGACATCCGAAGCGTTTTTAAGGCCCAGCGTTTAAGATTTATACTCTGTGCACGCGAGGATGAAGGTTTGGGTTTAAGATCCTGGTCATGTACCGCTTTTCGTGTTTAAACCCTAAACATCTGAACTTCCTAGGCCCCTAAACCGCTAAACCCTAAACCCCTGAACTTCCTAAACCCCTAGACCCCGAAACCCTAAATCCCTGAACTTCCTACACCCCCAGGCCCCAAACCCCTAAATCCCTGAACTTCCTACACCCCCAGGCCCCAAACCCCTAAACCCCTGAACTTCCTACACCCTCAGGCCCCAAACCCCTAAGCCCTTAACCCCTGAACTTCCTAAACCCCCAGGCCCCAAACCCATAGACCCCTAAGAAGCCGCATAAACCGCAAACCCAATCCTGGCCAGAGGTTTCATTTACTGTCCGAGAGACACCAAAGGGCCTGCAAGCGGCGGGCGTGAAGGTTATCTCAACACAGGCGCGACGGTTTAGGCATCAGGGTTTAGGAGTTTAGGGATTTAGGGGTTTAGGGGCGCGGGATTTTGAAGCTTTTTGGGGAAGTGGGGTGTTTACGGTTGCGAGCTCAGACGATGTATTGCAGATCGGGAGGAGGCCTGCCCGATTATTGTTGTACGGCGCGATCATCTATCTTTGAGGACCCTCACTTTCTGGAGCCGGAAGCTATACCCTCAACACTACACCCGAAAATGCCGAAGCCCCACTTACTCCCTCAACCCTATAGTATAAGCCCGCAAGCAAGCGAGGTCCGTCATCGGGGGCATGTATGTAGGTTTCGGAAGTTTCGGATTGAGGTTTTTGGGTATCTATTAGACTTTAGAAGGGGCCCCCACCCTGTAATAGTGTGGTATGATAGGAATATAATAGGGCCCTAATATAATCCTTATATTGACTATTACAGGGTGGGGGCCCCTTCGTCTTTGTTTGATACTCAACCACATCTCGGTCCCGGGAGATTCGCGGGTGCTCTTCTATGAGCTTCTGAGTCTATGTAATATAGGGGCCTAAATAATTAACAGTGTATGTAAATACATACATACATATATATATATATATATATATATATATATACATATTTTTTTTGGGGGGGGGAGGGGCTCCTGATCATAATCATTGAATCATGGTATCATGGGCCCCCAAACCCTATCCTAATTATGAAGGCCCCGAAAGCCCTAACCCGCTTTAACCCTTAGGCTCTTGGATAGCCTGAGTGCCCTAAACCCTAAACCCTGAACCCTCGGCCCTGAACCTTAGTGCCCTAAACCCTATATAGACCCTTAACCCTAAGCCCTAAACCCTAAACCCTGAACCCTTAACCCTAAATTCCTAAACCCTGAATCGAGCCCTGACGAGGATGGCACCTACAGCTTCTTCGGTGTCGTGAAGTCCTACAACGAGAACAAGGTACTGGGCCTCGCTTCTAGCAGTTGGGCTCAGGTCTTTGGTGCGACATTCGTAGGGGGGGGAGGGTTGGGAGGACTAATTAGAACCGAAAACAGGGGGTTATAGTGTAACGGTATTCGGATCCTTGACAGTTAGAATAGGGTCTTGGGGGTATGTATTCTACTAAACGTAGAATACAAGGACTAAACCGACTATACGTTGCTAACATCACCAGTCACTTAGTCCCCTACATGTCGGGTCTCTTGCTTAGCCTCGGCGGTTAGCTCGATGAAGTGGTAGACTTGAGGTCATGATAAACAATGGAGTCAATGCCTCAGGGTTTAGGGCCTAGGATTCAGGGTTGCAAGCCTAAGTTCATGTCTCAAACCCTCGGCATCCTTGCATTGAAGCCCGAGGCTAGCGCCTTTCGAACATCTTGCCGCTGGGTACGTATGCTTAAGGAAGATTCCAAGCGCCCGATGACGGAGGATATTCAATTTAAAGACGTTTAATATAGGAGCCCCAATAATTACCTATACTATTTTGGGGGTTCCTATTGCAATTATAGTATGGTTGGCCCCAAAACCATCTTCTGTTGTTTAAGGCCCCTCTATTCGGCTTCTGTGGGGAAGACTGCTCTTCTGTTGTTTAAGCCCCTCTATTCGGCTTCCGTGGGGAACACAACACTTCATTGCAAGGACAATCGAGCGAGTTCGCGCTGCACCAAGTAATCACCCCGCATAGTTACCCAGGTGGAGGTTGAGAATGCGGATTCTCAATTCCAATAATACTACTCATACTGCTACTACTAGTAATAATAACAATAGTAATAATCATATACAATAATAATAACAATAATAATATTAATAATAGCAATAGTGTAATAAAATAATATCTCCGGGATGCCGATTTCGAGCAACCCTTGCGCACGCCCGTTTCTGCAGCTCGGTAGAGCACAGACAGCCAGGGATTTGGTTTCCTTGGCTGCGATGCCGCGATGAACATCTTTGGCAAGGACGTCTTCTTTATGAGGCGCGGGTTGCTTTTTGCGAAGTTCGGTTGCTGCTTGCTGGTTTTTTGTCTCATCAGCTCACAAAGTCGGATTTTGGAGATGCCGTCATGAATAGGCCGAGAGGCCAAGTTCAGCTTGAAATCGGGACCAGGGAGGCCCTCGTGTCGCAGAGGGACATTGAATTTGTGCAATCGATCTAGGAGGCTACACAAGCGCACCGTCAAAAACCCACCTTGCTCAAAGGCCCAAGACTTCCAGCACACATCACATCCCTAAATCCTAAACCCCAAACCCTAATTCTCAAACAACCCGAAACCCTAATCCTGCTTGCGAGGAGTCAAGTTCCGCAAGGGCTTCAGACGGGTGCCCAGGTGATGTTCAAGGCCCGGCCGGTCTCGGTACCAGGCGATCTTCAAACGTCAAGAGGAGTCCTCAGACTTAGAGGAGGGCTTTGGGCTATGCTTCACTGTGACTTTGTTTAGGAATCCTCAGCGTGATTTTTTCTATTCAGCGAAAGAATTTAGGTGTTTTCCTGCATTACCTTAATGACCCTAAACCATGGGAATTATGGTACATTCCTTATTATGGGTCATGCAGGATTTATATCATCAACCGTTCGGGTCCGGTTGGTTCCAGGATGCCGCGTTAGGAGTCTCGCAAAAAGGCTTCATGTCCTCGCCGGTTTAGGGTATGAAGGGTTTAGGGTTGAAGGTTTAGGGTTTAGGGTTTTTTCCGCAACTACCGAGAGCCGATTTCGAGACGTTTGCGCAATGCGTTGAAGCAACTTCCCATGCTGAAGCTTGTTCCCAAATTTTCCGGGCAATGTTGAAACAATGATAGTTTAATAGAGCCCCCAAAGCCGGTTCCATTATTAAGACCCTTACAGTAAAAGCCAGAAAGTTGGAATATGATTATCCTAAACCCTTTATGGTAAATTATAGGGTATCCTACCCTGAAACCATATTCCAACTTTCTGGAGTTCCCTGTACATCATTTGCAAAGTAGTCGCTTCCAGCTGCAAGTGAGGCTCGGAGGAGTTCTTTTGGTAGCTCCGTGAAGGGTTCCCAAGACCTGTGGCGAAGTTCCCCTGGAGCATTAGTTCTTGCGACCCAAATTGCCGTAGCTCACGCCAAAGTTTGCATCCTCAGTCCCCCAAACCCTGAATACATGAACCGTATTATAAACCATAAGCCTTCAATGCCTGAGGCCATACACCCCTGGACCAAACCCCGAAACGCTGCAGGTCTCAACAGGGAGCCTTTCTGTAGAGTTTTGGCTTGCTTCCTTGCGAGCAGCGGCGTAGCTCAGCCCTGGTCTTTTGATCTGTAAGCCAGTAGCCGGTTTAGGGTTTAGGGTTTAGGGTCACCTTCTCGTACAGGCTCTGTTTGTTTTGTGCTTGCTTACGCTTGACCGGGCATGCTCAACGCCTGCTGCGTCGCAAGGGCGCCAGACCTTTTAAGGAGCTATGATGCGAGCCTTCACGACTTGGAGGACTTTGCTGAGGAGCACCTCGCTCTGGCTTTAGAGCATTTTGCTATAGTCTCCATTGTGGTTCCTTTTTTTTAGATCTTTTAGGATCCTATAGTTAAAATTGGCTAAACCGGAAAAAGGAACTACAACGGTGACTTAGATAGGGGCTCTGTTGCAATTCTCTTGGTCTCCGCAACGCCGGCCATGTCCCCGGAGCTGGACCTTAAACATCAAGCTCTGAACCCTAAACCCTGAACCCTATAAACCCTAAACCTTAAGAGCATCACACCCCTGAGGCGATTCCCTATGTATGTGGTGCCCGTGGAGACCGCATTGCTTATGCAGGAGTTGATGCCGCACGAGGCGCTGGAGAAGCAAAGGGTTAAGGGTTCAGGATTGTTAGGGTTCGCGGAATTGTTTGGGGTTTAGGGTTCCGGAAGACTCTGGTATATAGCAAGAACAAAGTTTCGTCATGATCAACCATCATGAGGCAGCATTCTCTGCAGTTCTTGTAGCAGCATCGTCATGGTAGAGGGTGTTCATGGTCCTGGATTGGCTGTTGAGTAAAACATGTAGGACCCTTGCAGTAACCCTTCAAGGAGCCCTCTGCCAATGGTTGGTTTGGGGGCTCCTTATCATAATTATTGTAGAATATACCCCCCAAACCCTATTCTAACCATGAAGCCCCTTCCATTATAGATTCCTACTATAGATCCCTTATAGACCCCTTTAAGGTTCCCTATTCATTCTAATTATTAAGGCCCCTACGCTACGGGCGTATCATCCGGCAAGGCGCTCTTGAAAGATGGGACGCTGCTGGAGTTTGACGACAACCGGGGGAATGCCATGCGTCTTTGTCATAGTTGGGTAGCATTTTACACTTTTATGGGTGCCGAAACCCACAACTGAATAGAAGTTTACATCTCCTATAAGCCCTAAACCCTCGACCCCAGACTTTATTCACATCTTGATTACGATCCCAACCCTGGACTCTAAACCCTAAACCCCTAAACCCCCCCGACCCTTGGACGCAAGGAAACGGGCGTTGCATTAAAAAAAAAGCCCTAAACCCCCAAACCCTTAACCCCTAATAGCCTGGACTAGGTTTGTGTCGCATCAGTGGGCTGGTGAGCACCATCCAGACCCCGGGATGGCTCAGTTTAAGGAGCTTGATAGGGCTTTTAGAGGGTTTTTTATAGGGTTTTTGGAGGGTTCTATAGGTTTTCATAGGCTTTCATAGGGTTTTTATAGGGTTTTTAAAGCGTTTTTAGAGGGTTTTAGAGGGTTTTGTAGGGCTTTTTATAGGGTTATGTAGGGGGGGCTTATGGGGTGTAGAGGGAGGGTTTATAGGGTTTACAGGGCTGATAGGGTCTACACGGTTTAGGCTTGCGCGCCTAAAAAAAACCACCGCTCGAAATGTTGACGACGAGGAAGACAACGATGATGATGACAATTACGATGGTCACGATGATATCGATGGCGATGGCGATGATGATAACGATGATGATAACAATCATGGTAGCAATGATGATGACCTAGCGATCTGGCAAAGGTGACTGTGCAAAGACCTTTTGCCCCATACCTTTTCCACCCACAAACCTCAACAAACTTGCCGCGACCTTCAAAGTCATCGGCCCCACCAGTGTTTTCGCCTTCTGCCGTAAGACTAGCTTTGCAGCCCAGGTCCGGAGAATAAATTCAGGCCGGCTTTTCCCAGCACACAAAAAGCTCACTGCTCAACACATTGATGACGATGATGATAACGATGATGATGAGAATGATGAAGATGATGGTGATATCGATGGTGGCTGTGAGGATGATAGCGATGTTGACATCGATGATGCTAGCGCTGATGGTCGCCTAGGGCGCCCAGAAAACTGGACACGAAATCGTGTCCCGTTTTTGCTTCTGCCACAATACCGCTGGTGAAGGTCAAAACGTGCGATTTTGCTGCGCCTGCCACACTTTTGTACACTTCCCTCGGCCGCTCCTCTGTAGGTTTTGTCTTCACGGTGGTTTTTTTTAGGCGCGCGCCACGGTTTAGGGTGAGTTTGGTTTGCATAGACCCAGGGTGACATGGTTCAAGGTGCTGGTTTTACGGCTTCAGGTTTGGCTTCGTGTGCGAATGATGATCAATGTTATTCCTCAGGGTTACTGATCATATCTGATCTTCCTAATACGTACGATGTGCCACAAAAACCCTACACTAGGCATTGCGGCCCCTGTCGAGGAGCTGCAGGTGTCCTTGAAGAACGTGATGGCTGGTACCGGGATGATCTCAGGCCCAAAGGGTCCAAGTACTGAATATACTTCTGGGGCCAAAACAAATCCTGCATTGCCTGAAGGAGAATTATGCTATATTCCCTATTATGGGTAATGCATCACTATTATGGTACTTGGGTCTCTTTGGGAGGTACTGCCTTCGAGCTCTATGCCGGTCAACAAAGCGTGATTTCCTCGGAGGATCTCTTCGTTCGCCCTCTCTTCATTTGGTACGACTCTAGGTTCCCAAGTACTAACCCTTTTGCCCTTTGTATCTTGGGGTCTCCTCATTAAAACAGTATATGAAGGGTCTCCTTATGTTTGAGGGGGTACTGGCTAGTGGCGCACCAAGGACTTCTTCTCTTGTCCACAGTGGTCCGACAGCCATCGGGCACTGGCTATCGGCTCGATCCCTGCTTACGTCGAACGCTGCCGGTTTTTCGTGGCTCTTTGCCCCCTTATTTGGCATTCCACTTCAGGGAAGCCCCTCACCACAAAGTCATGGACAGATCGAGGTTGGTGCAGACGCTGGGATCTTGTTATTGAATAAGAACGCAGGTCAAATTGCCCACATAAGTAGATGCTTGGGCAGTGTAGGGTTGAAGACGGCAGCTGAAGCAAGTGTAGCATGGAAACATAGTAAGTCATATGCTTTCTCTAATTGTCATGGTAATATCAATTTCGGAGAAACTCCTCATAAAGACTCCTCATAAAGACAAAAGCCCAGGACTTGAAAGAGCCGCACGACGGCTCAGCAACACAGAAGATACGAGGGTCATCGAAATACGAAGTGCGCATCAGCTGGCTGTCGCCCCTGTTTTCAACTGGGTCTTTCACCCCGTTGGAGAAGGTGAGTTCACTCTGGAAGAAGACAGGCGTCACCAGGCTGTTCAGTGGTATATACACTTTTGTACTTTCAGGTTTCTGGGTTCCTATTACAAAATACGAAGCCTAAAAAAGTATATTTCCCAGTGGGTTACTGAACAGTCTAGGTCAGCTTGCACCGGTGCTTCGAAGCATGGTAAGAAAGAAGCTTCATTTCCACCTGGTGCGGGGCAACTGGCATGACTACCGCCTCATGCTGAACCTACAGCGGGTGCAGTACCGAAATCTCCCCATCAATCCGATCGAAGATACTTATTCGCTGTAAACTCAACTTTTCATTTTTTTGGGGTTCTTGTAGGGTAGTCGATTCTGAAAGTTTCAATGTTTATTCCCTTGGGTTTTGGGCCAGTGAGGATATGATCCCGGGCTTCGATTCCGATCTTCAGGATCCGGCTGCCTACGCAGCAGCGAGTTTCCTGCACCAAAACGGCTTCCGCTCCGTAGATCAGCGGAGCCCAGAAGGTGGGCTTGATATGGATCCACACACATGCATATGCATATACATATATATATATATATATATAGCTGTATATATACATATACATACATATATATATATATACACATATTTGATGTACATATACATGTATATACGCAGGATTATATCTATATATACATGCATACAAATACATCTACATATATATATATATATATATTCTCATCGTTTTGTGTGCACATAGATGCGTTGATAGGTTGGACTCCTATCTGCTACGCGGCCGTGGATGGTAATCCTCTATTGCTCTCGGAACTTCTGGAGATGCGAGCGGACGTCAACGATCAGGCGTGTAGAGATGTTGCACCGGCTTCCCTCCAGGAATTGCTTATTGTTGCCAATGTTTTGGGGTTCCTCATTGTAATTGTAGTATAATGGGCCCCACAACCTATTCTAATTATTGAGGCCCCTATATTACACGTGGCTACAAGCCTACCAGTTTTGCGTCTTTGCGCGACCCATGTGCCGTTGCTACAGCTGTTGCTGCTACTGCCATGTGTACTGCTACAACTATTACAAACACTATTGCGACAGCACCACCACCACCACCTCCAACAACTACAGCCACACCCACACCAACACCAACACCACCAACACCACCACCATCACCACCACCACCAACACCACCACCAACAACAACAACAACAGCAGCAACAATACCACCACCACCACCACCACCAACAGCAGCAACAAGAACAACAACAGCAGCAACAACAACAACAACACAAGCAACAGCAACAGTACCAACAACAGATACCACAGCAACAGCAACCACAGCAACAACTTGTACAACTACCACTGAAATTTCTTCTGCTTGTACCACCACCGCCCATTTTACCTCTACCACCTAACCACTATCACTATACTACGACGACCACCACCACCACCACGACGGGACTGCGACTTCAACCACGACTACGACCACTGTTACGACGACGATGACTACGACAGCTACTGGGACTACGACCGACTGCGACAACTACGACGACTACGACTACGAAGAAGACGGCTACTACTACGTTTCTTCCGCAGCTACTGCGACTAATTCGCGCTACATTATTTGTCAGCGAATGAGGAGTCGGATGAGGAGGAGGCGGTGATGAAACGACGCGGCGAAAACGATTGCTTCTCCTGCTTCTGCTGCTGCTGCTTCTGCGGGAATACTCAATGTTAAGCCACGATCAATTGCTTTAACGAGTCTTAACACGTAAACCCTAAACCCTCCGATGGATAGGTATGGGAGACTGAAGCTCTGCCACTCGGCTGTCGTTGCTTTCGGGATTTTTTCTCGTGATTTGGGCTTTTTTGAGTACTTAGAGGATCATGGGACTTAGTAAGTAGGTTATAACTAGGGTTATAAGTCCCCTAAGTGGGGTTATCCTACTTATAACCTACTTCTAACCTTACTTACTAAGTCCCATGATCCTCCAAGTAGGGTATGAGGGCTCATGAGTCCGGGGTTTGGTTTCTTTTTGCGTAACTCCTACAGCCGGGGCACGGTGGGAAACCCGATTCTTGAAGTCTCGTTCGTCCCGGGAATGTTCAGACCCCAGAGAGCCCAACACCCCTTAATTAAGCATTATACATTAAATAGTAAGGGGCTTAATATTATGGTTTAAGCTGTATTCCTTAATTGAAGGATATTGGGCTCTCTGGGACTATCCTGTGCACTATGAGTCTCCGGTCCCAAAATCGGAGGCCTCAAGTTCGAAGCCCGAGACGTGGGACTGTATAATAACCCCGTGCTGTTAAGTTTAGTCTTGACATAGCCGTGTTCAGTTTTGATGGTTTTCCGTGGAAAAACGATAAGACGAAAATGAAACGATAACGCATTTTTCGTGGTAAAACGATAACAAGAAGACAAAACGATAACAACGTTCCGGAATAAGGATTTTTATATGGTGTTATTCTACAACCCCACGTGGACAAAAAAACAAACGCATCCAAATGAACCCGAAACTGGTATCTTGAGTCTCCGGGGTCTTAAGTACTTAGAGGATCCTGGGACTTAGTAAGTATGGTTATAAGTAGGCTATAGTTAGGATAACCCCACTTAGGGGACTTATAACCCTAATTATAACCTACTTACTAAGTCCCATGATCCTCTAAGTAGGGAGCAGTTCAGGTTCCACTTCGCACCGAAGACACCCCTCCTGCATATCTGTGCGGCGCTGTCGCACCACGAGGCGTCGGGCCTGGCAGTCGGGTTTTGGTTTAGAAAGGGTTCAGGGCATGGGGTTTAGGGTTGAGGGAGGGCAGAAGATGGGGCTATTGATTGGTGGTAGTCAAACATCACTGTATATCATCTGTTACTGGTGTTATAGCGACTGCAATCTTGCTGTTGTCATTTCTTTTGCCATTCTCAAGATAATTTATCCGGAAGCCCAAGCCCTAAATGTAAAACTCTAGCTCAAAGATCCCTTAGCCGGGTGGCAAGTGCTGTCAGGCTGCATGCCACGAGCGGGTTGATGTAGAACGCCAGAACCCTGAATACCGAAACCTTCAATCATGAACCCCGTGTCTGTTACACCCTACGATGTACCCTCAACCTTGAAATGGAAGTGTCCGAGTATCATCTCACAGGGTTTCCTATTTTCGATGTAGTATCATCCCCGCTTCTCCCAAATAAGTAGCCATCCGAGTCTTTCAAGCCCCCGCTACATATGAAGACATATATATATATACATACATATACACATGCACATGTCTTTGATATTCCACGGCCATGAAGCCTCAACACACCAAAAACCCTACACATCCTAACCTGCCTAGAAAGCTTAAAGCCCTGAGGGGGAAGCTCCGATACTCAGGCCTTGGATGTCTTGATCGCAGCGGGGGCGGAGGTTGGAGCGGTGGACGGCTATGGCGCGACAGCGCTGATGTGGGCTGCGGCGGTGAACAATCTGCAGGGCATCGAGGTAGGGTTCAGGGTCGGGGGTTTAGGGTTTGGGGTTCAGGGTTCGGGGTTTAGGGTTTTGGGGTTGGGGTTTAGAGTTTAGAGTTTAATTATAGGGTTTTGGGGTTTGGGTTTAGGGTTTAGGGTTTGGGGTATGCTTTGCAAGTTTCTCGTGATCATGTCTCGGGATTTTGGCTGAACTTAGAACTGCCACGAGGCAGAAACCAAAGACCCCACCTCTACTGTTGATGATACAAATCCTGCATTCCTTAAGGACCCTAAACTATGGGAATTATGGTACATTCCGTATTATGGGTCATGCAGGATTTGTATCATCAACCGTAGCGGCCTATGTCACGCATTGTGTTCAACAGCTCGATCATCCGGCGGTTGTTGATTTGGAGACACAACGCCCAAAGCCTTAACAAAAAGGGGCCTTAATAGTTATCTATACTATTATGGCGGTTCCTGACTATGTCTTTGTAAGATATACCCCCAAGCCCTTTTCTAATTACCAAGGCTCCTATGTCAATCCCCAGAAGCCTCCCAGGTCCTCAGCGATGCCGGTGCTGAGTTGACTGCCGTGAACATGCTGGGATACTCGCCGTTTCTGGCGGCCAGCGCCAGCGGTTATATCCCAGCGATGAAGACTTCCGGCTTCCCGAGAACTTGTTTTGGAAAGTGTGGGTTTAGGATTTAGGCTTTAAGGTTGGTCCTCAGGTCACCGGCTGTTTGGGGGCAGTGTTTGGGTGCTGCTTTCTCAAACTAAAACCCTAGAGGCCTTAAAACCCTAAAATCAAAAACCCTTAAGCCCTAAAAGCCCTAAACCCCTAAACCCCTCCCCGAAACGACAGGAAGTTGATGCCCACCACAACGCAGCAAGAGATCGACCTAGCGCTCCATGTACCTTGGGGACCAAATGACCCTTAGGGTTTAGGGTTTAGGGTTTAGGGGACTGTGAACCCCTATATGGGATATGAGAGCCCTAAAGCCGATAAAGGTTCATCTTGTCCTTGAGGTGGCTATCCTCCATGGTGGCGGATCTTCAGAAGTCATCCTCGAACTGGCCACTTTGGTGAATTTGGACTCTTGGGGCTCAGGCCCTGCGCCGAAACCTGATATGAAAAAATAGGACTATGCTGAAGAATCCTTGGGTCCTCGTTGGGGCTCTCTGTCTGGATCCTAGTATTTTGGGGTTACAGGACCAGGCTTTCTTTGTCAGGTTCCTACATTAATAAGACCTAGGCACCAGGCATCAAACCCTCAACCCCAAGCCCTAAGCCTTGAACCCTAAGCCCTAAGGCCTGAATCCTAAGCCCTAACCCCACATTAAGACCTAGGCCTAGGGCTACTAAGATTCGACCCGACCCGAGGCTCGAGGTGCTTACCCTTTGAAGAGCCAGCCAAGGGTTTAGGGTTCAGGGTTTGGGGTTCAGGGCTTAGGGTTTAGGGTTTGGGGGAGGGTTCGGAGGCGCAGTCCGGCTATGACTTTTCAATTTAGCGCTCGAAGTTTGCAATTATCCCTCATTTCATGGTCGAACGGATTTGGTGATTCGATATTATTAGGCATTGTTGTCATCCACTGGATTTCAAGCTGTTCTCAGTACCCCACGAGTAGATGTACACGTTGGCGGCATCAGTACTGAGCGCATTCATCAGGGTATTGGAACTTCTGTTCTTCTAGCACTGAGCCCGAAAGTGTTGGGTGTTGAGCTTGTGCAACAGGGTATGGGGTCGTGACGGAGTTGCAAGAGTGGTGAGTTCAGAAACGGCGAGATCAGTCATCAGCAGCTAGACAGGAACAAAAGTCGAAGTATCCCCTTTAACCAAATCCCGACCCTGAACTCTACAAGTTTAGGGTTTATCTGTGGCCCAAAAGACCTACCTTTTTAAGAAACTATATATAGAAACCATCATAAGGAATCCTAAAAAGCTAAGGTTCAAGTATATAGATAGAAGCCATAATAAGGAATCCTAGACCCTAAACCCTAAACCCCCTAAAAAGCTAAGGTTCAAGTATATAGAAACCATAATAAGGAATCCTAAACCCTAAAGGGAACTCCAGAAAGTTGGAATATGGAATAATGGCAGGATCCCCTATAATTTACCTTAAAGGGATTATGATGATGATATTCCAACTTTCCGGCTTCTACTGTGAAAAGCTAAGGTTCAAGCCGAAGCCGACATCAATTGTCAGCTTTCAACACCTCTGCTGAGCCCTCTTGGCGTACTCTTCGCCTGCCTCAGCATGCGCCACCGATGGAAGCAATCCGCTCTGAGCTACTATGCCTACCACCACTACGGCGCCACACCTCTGATGCGGCTTTGCTGGATAGCTGTTCCTACCGTACTGGAAAAGCTTTGCGGTGAGTAGTTCTGCAGTGACTGGTTTGTCGTTCGGACTTAGTGTGTTGAGTTCAGCTCTATGGCCCGGATGTTTCGATGGACGAAGGCATTGAATCAGATTTTCGCGGTTAGGGTTCAGGCATTGGCTTGGACCTGCGACTGGATACATCGAATCGAGGAGTTTGTTAGTCTAAAGTCGCCGTTAAGTCATGTGCAGCCTGTGGCAGCACGTTTCGTATCCAGCAATGAACCCATACAACACCCTAAGCCCTAAATCGCCAGAGCTTTGCGCTTAAAGCATCAGGTGCAGTGTAATTACTAGCTCTTTCGACGCCGTAGCGGTGCTCCTGGCTGCCGGAGCGCGCGTTGATGTCCAGAACACACGTGGGTGCACCCTGGCTGGTTGGCTTGAAGGTCGGGGTGTCAGAAATTATGGGACCCCACCTGAGAGACTTCATAGACGGATCCTGATTATATGGGGGCCCCTAGTTATTACGAACCTCCAAGCTCAACATGCAAAGCAAGGTCGCATGTTCGGGGCTGTCCCGAGGATAAAAAGCAGGCCAGGTTTAGAGTTTAAGAACCGTAGGGTTTTTAGGGTCTAGAGGTTTTGGCTTTATGGTGTCTAGAGGATTTAGGGCTTTAGGCTCTTTCGTAAGGCTTGATACAGTTAAGGGCTTAGGAGTTTAGACTTTGTCGGGTTCATAGGGTTCAGGGGTTTAGTTGGGCTTTATCATTAGTTACAGTTTCCACGGTTAAGGGTCCGGTCTCTTCAAGGCTTCTCGGATTCTGGGATATCTCCGGGTTTCTAGGGTTTGTCTGGTTTGGGGTGAGTCCCAGAAGATTTCGGTGTTCCTCCATGCATCCTGGAAACACCCTCTTCCCTAAATCCTACGAAGCCCACCACGCAACCTCACTAGACAGTTCGACCCGATGAAGCCCGAAACCCTAAGCCCTATGAAGCCTTGAACCCTAAACCCTATGAAGCCCTGAGCCCTGAACCGCAGGAAGCCTTAAACCGTAAACCCTATGTACTATGAAGCCCTGTGCCCTGAACCGCAGGAAGCCCTAAACCCTAAACCCTATGAGGCGCTAAGCCCTGAACCCTATGAAGCTCTTCTGAACTCGGATGGGCGACATGCAAGGTACGGCATTGGACCTTGCTCTAGAGACGGGCGTCCCCGACCAGATGCCTGGAAAGGCTTTATGAGATTTATATGGGTAGTTGTCAAAATTAGGGCCCCATTTCGGGTACCTTAAAACTTAGGTGCCGATTACATTGGGGACCCAAAAAGGAACCATATTGTATACAACAGCCCGACAAGGGCTTTCGGAGCTTTGGCTTTGGGGTTCTGGTGAATTAGGGTTGAGAGTGTTTAGGGTGTTAGGGTTTTCGAGCGTACGGTGTAGGCGTTGCGGGTTTAAGGTTTTGGGGTGTGCTTCTGGGTGTAGATTTTTTTTCGGGCGGGAAAAGGACGGGGCGAGCGGAAACTTGTTCGATTCTGGGGGGGTTCGATTGAAAGAACGGAACCTCGTTGCTGGATATTGGAGCCTTTGTGAGTGGGTTGAAGTGCCGAGTACAGGATCACAGGCCTGTTGTCGACGTGACTTTCACCACCTTGTTGCGACGGGTGATTACCGTCCTTCTTATGCGTACATTCAATTTCTGATGGTTCTTAGTCTTATAGATGGTTTCACAGTAACAGAGCAGCATGACGAGAGTCAGGATTGTGGAGGCGCTGGAAGCGGATGGTCCAAGTCGACAAAATCTGATCCGCAACTTACCCCTGGACATGGGCTTAATCTCTGAGAGCCTCTAGCAAGCAGACGTCTTTGCCAGTAGTTCTGCCATTTTCCAGCTTGTACCAAAGTAGATTTAGGATTGAGTTCGGACAGAGGCCTGCAGGGCTCAAATCAACATCTCAGAGCTTAAACACCGTTTTCTTACAGATATTAAAGTCTGTTCTTACTTACTGACGACCTTCAAACCAGAGTCATATGATCAGTATCAATCGAAGATTCCATTTTTACAAGATTCATACAATACTGGTTGGCCCCTTTTGGGTTTCCGAACCCTGGCCGATGCGGCCACGATTGCTGCACAGAACACCGATCGCCGGAGCATCCTTCGAACAGGGAAGATCTGCAGGTACGGCTGCAGGTAAAGAGTGTAGAGTGTACCTGGACCCTACAAAAACCGACTTTATTGCAGGGCCCCTGTAAATTCAGGGTTTATACTAAGAATCTACAAATATGTAGGGTTTTGTGGGTTAAGGCTGGGTTTAGGGTTTAGGGGGTACGAGTGCAGGTGTAGAGTGCAGAAACCAGTGACATCTGTAAACCCTACGCCCCCTAAAGTTACTATGTCCTAAACCGAGACCTCTCGACCGTAAACTCAGAAACCAGGAATCTGACCCTAAACCCTAAACCCTAAACCCAAAACCTCAGAATCCTGAACCCAGAATCCGGCTCCAGCCCCAAAACCCCTAATCCCCTAAGCCCGAAACCCTAAACCCTCTAAAACCCTGAACCCTAAACCCCCCGAACCCTAAACCCCCCAAGGCCCTAAACCCTAAACCCCCGAAGCCCCAAATCCTAGACACGAAACCCCTCAAAGTCCTAAACCCTAAACTCCCTAAACTCCCTAAACCCCCTAAACCCTAAACTGTAAACCCCCTAAGGCTAACTCCGAACCCCCTAAACCCTCAACCCCCTAACTAAATTTAATTAGCCCACTAAACCCTAGACTCTGAACCGTCAAACCAAACTCTGAACCTTCAACCCCCTAAACCCTAAACTCTGAACCCTAAACCATCTAAACCCCACGAACCCTAGCCCCAAAACCCCCTAACCCCTAAACTCTGAATCCTAGCCCCTTTAGTTCAGGGCTTCTGGCTCCAGAGGTCCTCCGGGGATGCCCCGACGATCTGGAAAAAGTCGAGAAACCAATTTTCCAAAAAGATGGGTCCCCTCAGAAAGCTCAGGGTTTAATGTTTAATGGGGTTTAAGGTTTAATGGCGTCTAATGTTTAATGGGGTTTAGGACAGGTTTAGGGGTTTAGGGTGTAGGGGTTAATGACGTGTAATGTTGAATAGTAATAGGGTTTTTAGGGTTAAGGGGTTTGGGTTTAGGAGGTTTGCGGTTTAGGCTACTATTCCTCAGGGTTTCTTGGTAGAGTCATAGGAAAGAATCCCCAAACTTCTGTTCCAGTTGCTGCGGCCCCCGTATTCCTGTTAAAAGCAGAGACTCAAAGCCTTGATCTTTACCATGAAGAGCAGGGGACCCTGACTTTCGAAATCCTACTGTACATGTACATGGGAGTTTCCGAAAATTAGGGGTACCTTAATATTTTGGGTCCTTATAATAAGGATCCTAGTATTTAGGGTACTATATTAGGGTCCCCGGTTTTCGGAAACTACCGCAGAATGATTATTCGTGATCCTCGGCCTCAGCAGATTGGACCTTAGGAGAGTTGCGCTCCCCTGCCGATCTCACCTCAGATATATGGGAGTTTCAGAAAATAGGGGACCCTAATATGGTATCCTAAATAGTCGGATCCTTATTATAAGGACCCCAAAATAAGGTACCCCCATTTTCGGAAACCCCCATATCCTCACAAAGCACACGCAGAATTTTGAAGGCCTTTAGCCTCGATGCCTTGTGCCCGTCACCACGCCATAAAGGGAACTCCAGAAAGTTGGAATATGGTTTCAGGGTAGGATACCCTAGAATTTACCATAAAGGGTTTAGGATAATCATATTCCAACTTTCTGGCTTTTACTATAAGTCAGTAGTATCGCAAAGCAGAGTTGGGTTCTACCAGCATAAACCAGGCCTTTTGAAGTATTGAGGCAGCAGAGCGTGTTTGAGCAACGAGACCCGCTGAGCATGTGCAATGAGGAGAGTGAGCAGAAGAGCAAGCTTGTCATGCAACGTGCTAGCATGTATGAGTTTTCACGAAGGTCAGGCGTAGCAGAGCTCAACTCCCACGTCTTCACGGTTTTCCACTGAGTGCCGATGGAATGATGCAAGCTTGAGAAGAGGAGGTGGCGAAGTTTCAGTCTGGTGGAGCATGCGGGTCTAGACTTGTTATGTTAATGTTAGTCTAGTTGTATGTATATATATATATATATATATATATATATATATACACACTGTTTCTGAATGCTATCGTTGTTAATTGTTATTAGTATTGTGGTGATTCTCACTATTACTGTGACAATTATTACTATTCTTGTCATTATGGTTAAATCTTGTTATTTCTATGGTTATGGTTTTCGTAAATGTTATGGTCATATACCCCCAAGTCGTAGGAATCAGGTCAGGCTAAAGAGGTAGACCCGAAGCCCTCATCGCCGTCATCTGCCTGGCAGACTGGTCAATTTGCAGCCGCGGCGTTTCTGAATTGGGAGTTTAAGAACATGAGGGACCCTGCTTGTACTGGCCTTCGTCTAGTCCACGAGGTAGTTTCTGAACAAAAAGAACCCGGCCACGTGCCTCAGTTTAACTAGGATGCCCAGTAGTACCCTTATTCCCCTTTTGTAGTCCTAGGTTCCTTGTAAAGTTACCCAATACCAAAAAGAGAGGCCTTTTTATTCTTAGGTTACTGGGTATCTTAGTTAAGAAAGTTGATTGACCTAGGTGCCTCAGGATTCGAGGCCCTTTGGCTCCTTGGACTGACTACCCTCATTGGCGGCACAAACCCTCACACCCCCAAATCTTGAACCCCTAAACCCTAAACCCCTAAACCCTAAACCCCTAATCCCTAAAGAACCCCTAAACCCCTAAAGAACCTTTAAACCCTAAACCCCTAAACCCCTAAACCCCAAACCCCTAAACCCCCAAACCCCTAAACCCCTAAACCCCAAACCCTAAACCCCTAAAGCCCTAAACCCCTAAACCCTAAACCCCAAACCCCTAAACCCCTAAAGCCCTAAACCCCTAAACCCCTAAACCCTAAACCCCTAAACCCCTAAACCCCTAAACCCCTAAATCGAGATGCAGGATCCCAGAGATTTTGTGCTTCGATGCCCAGCTTGCGTTGGAGCAGTGCAAGAAAAGGGTTTAGGGTTTAGGGTTTAGGGGCTTAGGGGCTAGGGTTTAGGGGTTTAGGGGTTTGGGGTTTAGGGTTTAGGGGTTTAGGGGTTTAGGGTTTAAAGGTTCTTTAGGGGTTTAGGGGTTCAGTACGGGGCAATATAACCCTACGGGTCCATATTACGAGATATACTTGGGCCCGAAAGTACCTATATGGGGACTACTTGAAGGCCCACGTGTATACTATATAGGTACATGGACCCTTAGGGTAAGGGTCTAAATAGTTACCTGTATTATTATGGGGTTCCTCTTTATAATTATAGTCTAATGGGCCCAACAAACCTATTCTAATTATTAAGGCCCCTATATTAGTGGTTTGGGTGCCACGTCTGTGTTTTCAGGGTTCAGGTTAGGTTACCCTAAACCCAGAACCCTCAACCCTGAACCCTTGCGTTCCCGTATTCGATTTGGTAAGAAGCCAGAAGCGCGCCGAACCCAACGCCCGGGGTCGCAGCCTAAATTGCTTGACTTGTGTCTCAGATGTTCTGATAGATGCCAAGATATCTGTACT